TTTCGACACCATGTTAGATAAATGTTTTAACAGATACGCGACTGAAGCCAGTTTTGCGCTAATTCTGTCTTCGTATTGGCCCCACGTCAGTTTCGAATCAATAAGGACGCCAAGGAAATTAATGGATACTACTTCTTTTGACGTTGATGAAGAGAACTGAATTTTTTGTGTTTTACTAATATTTAAAATTAGCTTATTAGCACTAATCCATTGTTTTACATCTAATAAAGCCTTACTTATTTTTTCTTCATTCTGCACGAAATCGGAAGAAATCTAGTTAACGTTATGTCGTCAGCATACAGCGTGAATCTGGCACCTGGACTAGAGAAACAAATGTCATTAATAAAAATTAAAAATAAAACAGGTCCAATTATGGAACCCTGCGGAACGCATAATGTTACAGCTCGACATTGAGATTTTTTATTGTTGTACTGTACAAATTGCTTAAGTAAGATTGAATTAAGTTTATGCTATCCTGCGTGAAATTATACAAATTTAACTTTTTTAACAGTAACTTGTGAGATACCAAGTCAAAGGCTTTAGTTTGATCTAAAGATATAGACGTACAACTTCTACGTGCCTCTATACTGTCAATAATCTGCGTAGTGAAATTAAGAATGGCAGTAGTTGTCGAAAACCAAACTGATTACTGCAAAACAAATGATTCCCTTCCATGAAATCTATAATCCGATTCTTCAGAATCATTTCAAATACTTTCGAAAAAATTGGAAGGATGGATACCGGTCTATAATTAGTAGTTACGTGAATGTCTTTTTTATGAAGCGGCAGAACACAAGCAATTTTAACACATCCGGGAAAATGCTGTAATGTAGACATTCATTTAGCAAGGAAGTTAATGGTGATATGATTATGTTTATTATACATTTAATTATGTCCAAATTGTGACCGTACGCATCCCTGCACTTACTATTATTTAAAAGTTTGATTGAGTCTCTAACAACTATTTGTGATAAAGGTGCACATAGATGCAGTGGGGATTGAACCTTGGGGACAGATGATAAATATGTTAAAGGATCATTTAGGTCATTACTGTCTATATTTTCAGCTAGATGGAATATTTAAAAACTCTTCATTGAATGTCTCTGCGTCAATATTTGATGGGTTCACATCATTTTTGCAATACTGACCTTTAATAACTTTCCACATGGCCTTTGAAGAATTTTTACATTTGGAAATAAATGTATCATGAGCTGCAATTTTACTCTTTTTAATAGCCAAGTGATATTTATATCTAAAAGATCGTAACATCAATTTTACGTTTTCACTGCGCGACTGTAAATACAATTGTTGTAAAAATTGTAAGGTATTTCGCATCCTTTTTAAGTCCTTGTTGTACCATGGAACATTGAGAGATTTATTTGTACAATTCACAATTTTTTCAGGAAATGCTATTTCACAAGCCCCAGTGATAGTATTTAGAAACAAAATCAAAACAACAATTCTCTAAAATATTATTCAAAATAACTTTTCCGTGTTTATTTATTGGACGGTGTTTTCTAGGACTATTTATTCTGATTGGAGCATGATTGAGGGACATAATTGCATGTATTCCGAGATGGTGGCCATAAGATCTATTACTTCTACAGCGCCTTTATCCGCCCCCAAAAAATTTATATTAAAATCGCCAGCGACACATACATACCTGTATTTCACACATTGACGTAAGGCTTTCTACATAGTGCTTGAAAATATTTTAAAATCACCTTGCGGTGATCTATAAATACATAAAACTACTGCTTCTAAGACTGGTAGGTACACACAGGATCTTCGAGTGTGCTATCCTTTTCTGACGATGGCATTTCAGGGAATTTAATTTGTGTGTAAGCCACGCATAGTAGAATGAAAGCTACCCTAAAACCCCGGTTGGTGACTTAGCGTACAAAATCCAATTACCAACAAATTGGCATACTGCCGTAATGAAGCATGATTTGCAAATTTTTTGAAACAACCTTTGTATGATCGCATCTAGTATGATTTGTTACTGACTCGTGTGTGAACTTCACACAGACTGATATATGAACGGACAGTGCTTAGATAATGGATCATTAGTTTATCAATGCATCATAGTAAATGGAAAAAGTATATTAACAACATAGATATGTTTTATTGCCCAAGTATGTCCTCGTCCTGTTGCTTTATAATGAAGAACCTGCGTCAAGAACAAGGCCGGAAGTTGGCATACAATAAATAATCATACCGAGTGGTTTACCGAAAACACTTGACGCCTATGAGAAACGTACAAAAAGGTCAGTTTTTCTTTACATTGCATTTCTCAATCCATTTTTAATTTTTAATTGTTTTTTCAAATATTTATAAAGGAACCGTATGATTGTCATGATTACTACTACAGACACAGCTGACTAATAACATTTCGTGATGTATAGTATTTATAAATGTGGCATAATTACATCCATCTATTCGGATCTGATGTTTTGGCGGTCGTCAACACCTCCATGCATTTCAAGGGCATAAAATTTCATATTGTGCGCCCGCTACACCTTTGGAATGCTCAAAATTTTTGCACGCCTTAACGCACTTTTGAATTTGAATTAATTTGGGAATTATTACAAATCAGGCGTGGCGTTTGCTAATTCAAAGTATGTACTCTCAACTCTTAAAACATGCTCAAGATGGAATCGCAATTTATCCTTCTAAGATGTGGTTATATCCAGAAGAAAGAATGTAGAATTCCTAGAAAGATGACATCGTTAATGCATTTGTAAGTTACTTAAAAGTGTACGCCTTCAATATAAGGTATGTGGCTATTTAATTCTCAGAAGCTATATTTCAACCATTTAATATAGATATTGAGAGGTTCCACCCTGTATATACAACTTACGATGATACATACATTTTTGAGAGTTGGCAACCATGCAATTTCCAGGTGGTGAAAAAGCTGCCTGCGCCATCTAGAAAGCAATATAGAATCAAAGATTTCAACTTCGGGAGTATCGCAGGAGTCCAACTTTGGGGGCCTTGCTGTTTCTACTACCATGCGATCAAAAATGAGTTGCTGTCGAGTAACCTTTGGAATTTTTGTTTACATGGGAAATCGTACTTAACCTGAACTTCCAAAGACGACTCGACAGACATTTTTGATCGCCAGTATTAACTGATGCAATATTCTGGAAATATATTGGAAAGAAATTGCAAATTTCTTGAATTGGATAAAGAAGAAAAAACCATCAAAATCATATTATGCCATTTGCTTATCTAACAGATTAAAAGATTCCTTATCTGTACAAGGACTCATCAACGTATACTATATCATGGAATACTCCATTTACCTACAATTTATCAATGTAAGGAAACGACAATATTAAAAAATTATTTATTGTTCATGTTTTATAAGATTCTGTGCTTTGTTAGTAAAGGTATAAAATTGTGTGCTTGTTTGGTTAATGGAAATTTTCTATATATTTGAGTTTTACCAAGTTTTTAACTGGAAGTTTATAATAGTATCTAATTAGCTTTATTATAATGACGTGTTCCGCATCCACCTTTGGATTTTATGAACAAATAAAATAATGATGGGAAAGATGTGCTAATTCCATGCAAGGGTTAGCAAAACAGCTTATTACAAGGTTCAATTGTATGGAGAGTACACCACATCAGTAAGTTCAAAAATAATCTGCCAATGAAAATTTTCAGGAAGTCGTAAGACTTCATTACAAGCAAGCACCATTTCGTATTACAAGTGGCCAACGGTATTCCGATCCATTTGATTTGGAATACCATGAAAAGTGTTTTTGCTAATAATAAAGAGCAGAAAAAACTGCGTTGTCCCACTCTTGCGATAACAGTCTCGAAGTTTATTTCTTTGGGCAAGGCAAATTTATTCACCGGCGACGGCGACCCTCACGGGTCAGGGCTAAACACTAGTAATACAATTGTAATTGTTTATTGAGAGCTTTATTAGCGTATGCGTATCAAAGTACGTAGTAGGCTAATTTGTTGGTAATATTAGTTTAAAGCATACTTAACATCTCGAAAAACAGAAGTCGTCTCAGCTACCCTGCTATGATTAGGGCATTCAGCACAACAAGGGAAATACTTTCCCACTTCCCTTTTTATATCAAGCGAATAAATAAGATCATTAGGTTGTAACTCTACACTATTAATACACGTGAAATGAAATCTTTTTTAATCTTCGTTTGCTTTCTCGTGTGTTCTTGGTGTTTATAGCATTCTACAACGACAACGGTATTGTCTGACATCCACCCTAAAATTTGTAAGTCTCTTTATGGATAGCAGTAGACAAAGTTAATAAACTTACAAATTAGTAAAACAGGAAGTACATTCAAAAGTATCGCCCAAGGAGCTGCAACGAAGCGTGATATACGTATCGAAGCTGTTAACAGGAGGCAGAAGAGGAGAACTGCATTCAATATACTTGATAAGATCCACACCCTCACCAACAGGAGTATTTCCTAAAGCTTATCGGTTACAAATCCAATGATACTTGTGAACCAACTCACCTTTAACACTCCCAACAAAAGAATAACAGAAAATATCAGAGGTACCAGAAAATAACCGGCTGTTACGTAAAATACATTCCGTTCAACTGTAATTTAGCAATTGTAGTATGCGACCAAAAGAAGTATTGACTTACTGTGATAGTAGCTTAAACTCTCGGTGGTAAGTGTGCAGCCCAGTGTTACAAAAACGTAACACAAAACTGAGAAAAGTACCTGAAACAGCGGTTATTAGTTTCCGGTTTAAACCAAAATGAAGAACTTACACATTGGCTGATGCCAACTCTTAACAAAATTGTGTAAGTGTTCATTGTCTTCACTGAAATGCGGCAACTGACTATTACAATGCAACAATCACCTATGTTGACGTATAATTGACGCATGTATGGTATATTTTGGGAGAATTATCTAAATTATCTATCGAAAGGTACTTCAAAGTTGTAAATTTTTGCGCGTTAAGATTAGACAAGGATCGATTGACGCGCATGCTGTAGTACTTATATGTTTTACAAAATTTATTTAGAAATAAATTGTACAAAGCCAGCAAGGTACTATTTTCTGTACACGAACTTAACTAACAGTCAATGGTAAATCACCATACATGGGAGCCGTGACCGAAACCAATTGCTCCATGTCCTAAACTTGCACCTCCGTGCCCCAAAGCGAATGAACCATGTGTTAAATCAAGGGAACCATAACCAGCTGCCAATGCTCCATGGCCCAAACCGGCTCCTAGTTCAGCTGCAAGCCCAGCTCCGGACAGTCCGGGGGCCGATGCGAGTCCAGCTCCTAACAATCCGGCGCCGGCTGTAGCTACTGGTTGGGCGAGTTGTGGTACACTGACCGGGACGGGTTGGGGAACTGGAACAGGCACCGGTTGTGGTACTGGAACTGGGATAGGTTGAGGTACTGAAACGGGAACGGGACTCGGTACCGGTACCGGAACTGGACGTGGTACTGGAACTGGAACAGGCCTATTAACGGGAACAGGAATTGGTTGAGGCACAGGTACATGAACTGCTCTCGGAACATCAACCGGCACTGGGACTTGAAATGGCACTGGTATGGGGCGGTTAACTGTAACAGGTACCGGTTGTGGCACTGGGATGGGCACAGCTCTGTTAATAGTCGTAACGGTATTGACTCCTAACGCCAGGCCTCCCAAACCAGCCGAAATTAATCCGCCTGCACCTCCTCCAATACCCAAACCATTGTGACCTCCCAAAACGTCTAACCCGCCGAGCCCTAATCCATCATGTCCATACCCCAATCCTAAAAGACCACGTTTTTCCTGTTTCTTCGCTTCCTCCCCAGATGCAACTGCAATCAACACAATGGCGAATACCTAAAGGGAACGATTTCATTAGCACAATATATACATAGACACTAAAGGCTTACCTGTATCTTATTCATGTTGGTGTGCGCAGCTTTGAGTGCTTGAGTCCATTTTCCGTTTTGCTTATATATTAAAATCTTAACGGCTCCACCTCTCTACGGCGGTTTAAGATATATCATCGGATACTGCGTTTACTTTCACTAATCTGCAATACGCGTGATACAAAGAACGTTTAAACGTATACTGTTACATTTATTATTATTATTTAATCGTGAAATTTGTTTGAAAAATTGCAATCTGGCTCACAGAGAACAGTTTTACATGATTTCATTTCGGAGCATTCAAATTATGGGTTTAATTACCACAATAAATTTTGTTATTCGGTGTGTTGCTTCATTCAATGCTTAGTACCAAACTGCATGTTCGAAATTTTGCATTTCGGAACATAAAACAGCTCAAATTTTTCTTACGTATATTTTTAAAATCCTACATTGCATACGATCCTTCAGCTATTCCAGATTCATATGATTTCTATGGATTCCTCCAAACTCTTCCGATTTTTTTTTATTGTTACGTACATTTGATTCCAAATTCTTCCCATTCCTCATTATTCAGACTTGTATTATTCACTTTTTGCATGTATTATATATTATATAGTTTTCTCACGTTTTCATACAATTGAAATTCCTGGCTTTTCGGATTCTTCCGTTTTATTATGTTTACGTACATGAAGATCCTACATTTGGAAAAATGTTCCCCCCTTCCGACGGCCAGTCGTTTACAGTATGCAGCATAACGCAATCCAATCCTTTAACGTTGAAATCGAATAAGTTGACACTATACCAATCATTTGTAGGCGTTTAAAGGGTAAAGTAAATAATTTGATAAATAAAATCGATGTTCAGCTAACGTTTTTATTCCATTATCAATTTTCAAATAAAAATGTTGCAGATGGTGAAAGCTCTCACAATAAAAAGTACTAATCCCCTGCATTGTTAAGAAGGATGAGTATTTAATGCAGGTTTTAAAGGTTTTCATTTAGATAAATTATGAATAAGAAGGAATTATGCATTAGCAAAGTTTCAATTTATCAATCTTACGCGTAATCTAACTCAAAATAGACTAGAGCCTGCACATCTACGCTATAGCAGAAGCTTTTGGTGAATATTTGAAGTCTCTAGCTTTGTAATTATTGAGATCTTTAACGAATATAATGGCGTATTTTAGCATTGTTTATGTTTATGTTTTGTATGGGTTTACCAGGTTTGCCGAGTAGAAAAAATTCACAGATTTCCCAATCCTTGCAACCATCGGAGACATTGGAAATGATAACCGTATAACCTATAAAGCCATAAATAACCCTTATTCCACGGAATAATCTTGCTCCACTCGCGTAAACTTTCTGAATAATAAGCGGCGTAACATGCTTGTAATGCTACCACGGGTGATGTGCGAGAATTTTAAATTTAAAATGCTCATTAAGTCATTAATGTCACGTTGGATAATATTGATATTAACGTCTCAGATTATTTCAGTAAGAAAGAATTTTGATAAACAATTTTGGAATGACATCAAAGTGTCTTTATTATACACAAATTTTATCAAGGAAACGATAAAACATATTGCAATGGTGTATAGCAATTCAACTCTTCTGCATTTATTAAAATTATGTGCGCTCCAATCTTATTACTCTTTGACAATTGGCTAATAACTATCAATCTCGCACAGCATATGGGATTGGTGGGCCTTAGGTAATATACAGCAATGAAGACGTAACGTTCCATGTAAACTTGCAATGAACTTGAGAGGGAGATGAGAACTTTACGAAAGGTTGAGGGAAATTTGTTTGGAAATTGGGGGAAGTGTAAGAACTTAAAAGTGAGGAAATTAAAACGAAGCTTATTGGGAGGAAGAACAAACATTGAGCGGGGGAAGTCAAGGTAAATCAAAGAGGGATCAATGAATGAATGAGTGGAATTTTGCACAAACTTGAAGGGAACTGATAAATGAATGGGATACCATGGATATAAAACGTCTACGAAAGATAAAGTACGCCACAATATACACAATACATCGATTCTATAACAAAATAAATAATTACCATAAAATAAGACATTCATAATCGTAATTTTAAATATAATGATTTTTTAGTTTTCAATCACATGTTAATGATCTTACAGAAACAACGCATAGCATATCTAGGTAAATTCAGTTGATGATGTTAGATCTTTGGAGGTTTTGAGGTGAGAATTGATATGCTTACTTTCAAGTCGATATAACCATCAATAAATTAAGAAGTGTGGGAAACATCAAAGTTCATTTTTTATTAGGAGGATATTAAATTATTTCGACTATAGATAGATATTATTTATTGATATTTCAATTACAGCCGTACAATAAAGTTTATCAAACTAAAATAAAAATTTAAATTACCCGACGTAAGGTGGGACAGAGACATATTTTTGGCTGAGCTATTATGTGTAACGTAACATAAGCATGGTATACGGATGTAATAAGATTGTTTGTTAAAATATTTCTTTTGCGCAGCCTACTAATGCGAATTATGGGCTTAAAATTTGTACTAGTAGTCCAGGGAATAAAGGGATTTTAACTTGCAAAATGAGAAGTAGTTCCAATTCGTTTTGCATGTAATATAGACAGTCATCTAGTGGTTAAGAATGTAAGTTTGAAACCTTGTGCTTCCCCCGTGCCACCCCCAAAACCAAAAGTTGATTTCTTAGTTTTGCAATCATATCTTTTTTTTTTATTATTCGAAACCAGATCAGCATTTATTTGCTATACATGGTTGGGTTACAGTAATGTAATTGGCAATAATCATAGCAATGCTTATGAGATTTACAATATTCATCACTTCACCGTTTTAGTCTAGTATGGATGTGTGTCTTACCTAGGTGATACGTTTCAGCATTTGGGCACAAATTGATGGAGGAATAAAACTTGTCACACAGTTTATTTATGTAGTCGCTAATGAGTGGTTGGTTGAGTTCATGGTGAATTTGAGTGGTCCTAATAAACCAGTTGGCTTTCACAGCTATACGCAGCACTTTATTTTGGAATACTTGTAATTTATTCAGTTGGGTTTTATTAGCAGCTGCCCAAACTGGACTTAGTATAGGGCGTAAAATGGATTTACATGAAGGGCGCATTCGTTTGCAGTGACAATTCAACTCATGTATAAAAAATCACATACGCCGCAGTGCAATTGTCACTTTGACAGCGGCAAAAGTTACCTGCAACTTTTCCAGCGACAAATGCACTAGTGGTTTTTTCACTTATTCATTTTCGAACCAATTATCGCGTTATCCTTTCCCATATGACTAGTTTGACGTTTGTCAATAATTGATTAGTTTGGTGAATTTGTTGTTCGTTAAATTGTCCTGCCGAATTACACTCGAGGTTTGTATTTAAACCGAGTAAATTTGGGTTGTTGCAATTCAAATCTGTTTCCTTTTAGCAATTGAACTCGAAAAATTGCTAGGCAACAGATTTTCATTACCTTAACAACCCAAATGTACTCGGTAAAACACAAACCTCTTGTGCAATTATAAGATAGAACAACAAACTTAGAATGGAAACTCTAATGTAATGTAAAAATGACGCGCCATCTCGTGTATGTTCTCAGCAGCTTTTGCGTGAATGGCGCCAAATTTAAATATTAAAATGTAAGCTACGTCCGCATTTCTCCGGATTTGTAACAATAACATTGGATTTGACTAGCTGAAACCTAAAACGTAAATGAATCCAGCCAGTGAAGTCCAATTTTGTTTGATAGGGATCCAGATAAATTCAGTTTAAGGCTCCTCTGTAGTCAATCCGCCATATTGGAAAAATAACTAAACTTTCTTATGAAATGCTGCTTTTGTAGTTGAAGTCTAACAAATTCTCGATAGTGGATATTCTTTGCAATGATGAAAAGAACGGCGGTACTTAAAAAAAGCTGAAATATCGGTCTTGGTTTTTTAGGAAGATCGTTGAATAGAAAAATCGTAAATAACAGCCGTTGTAATGGGAGTAGAAAAACCTACAGCACCAATTTGGAAATCCGACAGTATTTTTTACGGCGGTACTTAAATTATTTCTATCTTTTATGATAAGGCATACATTTAAATAAAATAAGTTCCGCGATTTTCAGAAAAGAGCGCAACGTTAGCATAAAGGTAGGCAACTCAAATTGTACTTACACCCCTAAGGCGATATCTCATTACTTGCAAGGGAAAACAAAAGAAACTACCTGGCATTATCCTGGCACATTGTTACCTCGTTCCTAATGACATGGATTAGATAAGCTACTATATAATTAGCTAATGTTTATTTTTATTTTTATAGAAATACTTTTTTATTTCTAAAACATTTTTCATTCTATCTAGATTCTTCAAGAAATTTGTTTAGGAAGATAGCAAATAGTAGCCCCATTTTTTAGCTCAACCCAAGCGGAATACGACCACTTATGTGTTTTAGATACATAGTGAGACGATTATACCAATAATTTGGTGGCTTCTTGTCGCAATTCAGGTGTGGTGTAAAAATGTGACTCCTTTTTGTTTTTTTAACATTTTGTACCATGAAACTGCTTATCTACGTGCATAAAAACATTAAAAAAATGTGGTAGGGCAGGACAAACGCATGACCTCGACATAAGGAGAAAGCACAATACCACAATTAGCATCAATTCAAAAGTAAAGTTTGTCAAGTTAGCGAGACACCAAAATGAATATCCGTATCAAAAAAAGCGGCATAATTCGTTGGTTTTCCCCGTTATTAGTGGCAGATATAAAAAATTCTCGCACTTTTAACAAATTTCGGACTATTTACTTTTTCCGTTTGAGTACCTATGCTTTTTGCGAGTCCCGCAATCTTCACATCAACTTTGCTGCGATTTTTTTTAATTTCCATTACTATGTGGCAACAGAAAACGATATGTTCTATATACTGTGTACTTATTTTTAGCGGATTTTTTTAAGAAATAAAAAAATGTGTAATTGTTTGCGTTTTGCCCGTCCGCCCGGGCCCACTTTTTTTAACTACTATTAGGGGAATGGTAATATAATTATATAGTCTTGGAATTTTTTGCAATAAGTAGCCTATACCTTGGAGGTCCGCCAGACGGCCATCACTTTTAGATGTTTTAAGGCCCCCCTCTTTTTTACCCTTA